AGGTTGGGTTGGCTCGCCCGGTTCACCAGTTGGCTGAGTGCGGATGAACTCCTCCACGTTAGTTTGGTAGCGATCCTATATGAAAATTTAAATTGAATTAGTATTTCAAAATTTATATAAAAGTAAACTTAAATTATATATTATAGACGGATACTAATAAATTTTTCTATTGTATCTAATTAATTATCTCTATGTACGCAAACCTGTTAAATTTGGGGTAGGAATGATCGACGATGCTGGTGGCATAGTGTTGCTCTCATCATAAACTCGCGCGTTGAAAGAACAACGGGTGTGAAATTTGCCATCTTGAATGTGAATAATGCTCACACTATGGTTTAACGACTTGCGCAATGAATTGTATCGGTCCATATAATATATGGTATTTGATTCACAACCCGATAATTTGGAAGCCAAGACAGACATGGAAGTATGGTCACACAAAAATAAGGCTTCATCTCCCAAGTTGTTCAACTCAACAAACATGGATTCTTGGGTTGTTGGGTTTCCAACCGACTTGGAAATCTTAACACTTGATGGCTTATCATGTGGTAGATTTATTCGAACCCTTAACAGCTCGTTAGTTGTAGTCTTTACGAGATAATTAATTTGTCTGAAATACGAACCATGAATTGACCAAGGTGCAATCTCCTTAAATCTCAAAGTAGTGTTGTCCATATATATATAAAACCCTACCCTCATAAGTCACAATGTAGTAACTCTCATCGTAGTATATTATATCACACGCAGAGAATCCACTATGAAGATGAGTGATAATCCAGGTTCTATTACCAGGTTTTAGGATAGCCAGTTTATGGGTGCCCCAATTCCTAGACATAGCCGCCACCTCAAAATCATATAAATTGATTGAAGGATTTTTGGATAATATAACTTTACTGACATGAAATTCAAGAAAGGATTGGAAAGGAAGAAACTATATAGACCTTGAAAAGCCAACCAACCATGAGAAGAACCACAACATCTGTGAGTCCAATATTGTAATGGTATTGTGAGGTCCGAAACTATTTTACCTTTTGTCAAACTGTATAAACTTGTGTTAGTGGTACAACTGCTAGCTCGATCTTTAAAGATCATTAGTAGAGGAAGTTCTTCAATAGATGCGTTGTTGTAGGGATTCATAATTGTTGGATACGAAAGAAAACCACGACTTACACACAACACCAAAGTATAAGTAATCAGAGATAGAAGACAACTTTTGAAAAATCAAGTCGAGTATCAAATTCGGAAGAATTCCCCAGTCTTTTGATCTTGACATGGTGGTATCCATGGGTGATAGCCTTATTCAAAGAAATTGGTAGATTAAAGGCCAACAACTTATGTTTACTGAGAAAAGGAAAAGTAGAGACCGCAACCCTTCTTTTATCTCTCTCTTTATCTAACTTTTCGTTTTCCTTTCCTAAATATACTCCCTTCTGTTACTTTTTTTTTTTTTTTTTTTAGTCCACAATATTTGATTTTTCAAATATTCGGGTCATTTTAATTTAATTGACTTTTTGGTCTTTTTTTGTGGTCCACAATATTTGATTTTTTAGATATCAAGAAGGAATTTCTTTTTTCAAAAGTTGCCCTTAGAGTAAAGAGTCGATGAGTATTTGTTATATTTTCAATGAACAAATTAAGGTTAATATGATCAATCTTATTGTTAGTTAATGCTAAAAGGTTAATTTCTTAATATATAAAAAAAAACAACCAAAAAATCAGTTAAAAAGTGGACCATAGAGAGTAAAAGATAAAAAAGAACAAGAGATATCGAGAGAGAATTGTACTAATTAAGAGATTCTTATCCTAAAAAATTGTACTACCATGGAATCATTTTCCTTCTATAAAACTTTCCTTTGCGAAGTCTAACCACATAAGGAATTTGTTTCCAAAAGTACTAAGTAAAACTTTTAAAACCCTAAACTCTACACAGAAAAGGACACACGAACACATTTAAACACGTGGGCTACAACGTTTAATAATCCTTTAAATCTCTAACTGGAAATTAAAAGAACCTCACTTTTAATTAGGATCTTCCCCGATTGAACAGTTGGCATTTTAAATTGTGATTTGGATGACATATGCTGAATTAAAGATATTTGGAACTAGAAAGAAGGATCACAAACCCCAAATTTATAGACTTTCAAAGCTGCTGATAATATTGCAGAAAAGATAAAATAAAAATAAAAAGGCGAAATGGCTTCGTGGCCACTTAAACTTGTACTGGATTTTAAAGCCGATATATAAACTTTTGATTTTCTCATTTTAGCACCTCAACTCAACCAATTGAGTATAAATGAACCCCTTCGTCAGAGCGTGAAGCTCAATTTCCTGACAGGAAGAGCACGTCAAATTCTAAGACCATTTATTATTTCACGTGTGTCATTTGTGGGTTCGTTTCCTTAAACTAATTTATCAAATTTTTTTTTCTTATTTTACTTCTTTCACTATTTCTTCTACAACTTTTAGCGCTGTAATCTGAGAAAAAATATTCCAGCCATAACCTGACCACATGCCTCAATCAACCATGAACTTCCATAAAATCCATTCCATCTTTCACTTTTAATAAAATCCATAGAATTCGTACCCCAAGTCAAAGAGTCAATGGGGCACCTGTTAAAATTCCGTCAAGGCATCAAGAGAGCGGGCGAGGCTATGTCCAAGAAGGACATGAATGGTGAAATCAGAAAGAAAGAGAAGTCGGACTCCGTAAGTGGGATTTTCCGGCTAAAACTCGACAATTTTCTGATGGTCTTTCTCTTTTCTCTACCTATCTTCTAGTCTGAGATGGATACAAAAAAAAAAAAAAGAGGGAGTTAATGTGAGAGAAAGGATTGACAGAATGTTTTTGACAAAATTCATTGCTTTTCTTTATTTTTCACTACGCTGAGTTTGAAACAAAAAGAGGAAGAAGTGGGGAAAGATTGGAGTGGAGGAGAAAGAAAAGAAGGGGAAGGTGTGGGGTATAGACGACAATGGGGAAAGGGGAAAATTAAGAAACAGGAAGAGGTTAGGAGAATAATGGTATTACTGATTTGGGGTGGGTTAAAGCGGGGTGGGGGCTTATTTTCTTTCTTTTTCATTTGTAATTTTTTTTTTGATTTTAGATTTTTTAAAATAAAAATAATTATAGTCACGCGCCTAATTTACGTGACTTGCACACTCTTTGTCCACATCACTTCTTCCATGTCACATGTGCATGGTCAACAGTCAAATAAGTTTATTAGTTATCAAATACGAGAGTTTGAGTGTTCAAATGGGAACGATGTAAGTTTGTGTATCGACTATACAAATGAGAGCAAGTTTAAGTGGCCGGAAGGCCATTTCGCCAAATAAAAATAAAAAATAATTTGTATTTTTTAGCTTCATTCCTGTAGTGTAGAACAATTTCAGTAATACTTTCTTTTGCATGAATCAATTTAAGCTAATTCAATTAACATTAACATTTTGCAGATTCGAAAATTGACTGATAAGAAACAGAAACAAGAGTTGAATGAGTGTGTAGAAACAAAATAATTGCCGCAACAATACGTATGCTATCTATGTAGGGGAAAATTGTATTTATATGGTGATGTGTCATGACACGTAGACTGACCAAGCAGTCAAAGAATTAAGGTTGGTTAACAAATACGAGCAACAACAGACACGAGCAACGATAGATACGAGCAAGTTAAATGAAGAAGGCACGAGCAGTCATACAAATAATTCAACGCTCGTACCTATTCAAGACATTCAAAGGTCAAGGATCGAGAAGAGACAAAGGAATGAATCTGACAGCAAAAAGAGCCCAGATACAGCATTTAATGAGTATTAAATACTAGAAACGTTAGAGAATATGTATTGAATGTATATGATTGCATAACGTAACATTTAAGGTCATTAATTACCCATAATTGTCTTATTATGACAAAGGAAAAATCTGTATTCCCAAAACGGCTATAAAAGGGAAAGTCACAAACAACTGTAGGGACACGAAAAAATATTACTGGAATATACTTTATTCTATTTACTTTCTGATTATATTATTCAAAATCTCTTTCTTATATACTTTTCTGATTATCAATAACCCGAGTTCTTCTAAATTCAAGCTTTGACCTAAAATCTAATTTTTGGTTAAACAATCTACATATCGACTGCTCAATCGAATGACTGTATATATATAATAGAAACAAAACAATAGGTGCAATTTGGTATTGATTTCTATTTTCCTTTGATCTTTTTAAGTGATCAATTGCATTGAAACCAAATACTTCAGAATTCAGATTACTTAAACTAATCTTGATTAAGCATAAGCCTGTCCAAAACCTCTAGCAAATAGATGTTGAGAATTTCGTTATCTGGATTTTCAATTGCGAATATACACTGATCTTTTGACGTACAATTTAGTGCGCGAGAGGAGGGGACTCTAGTGGAAAAGGAAGTTTAATTCATAAAACAGAAAACCTTTTTCTTTTAGTACATACATTTTTGGAGTTATCATCCTAAAAAACAATGTTTTGAAAAGGTATGTCAGCTACCAATACAATAATTGTCGCAAGAATTCAAATATGATTATCTGTTAAAAGTTCAGGAAAATCTATTTATTTAGAATATATTCATGTTAGCAGAAATGCATATTAAGGACCAATTTATGGTGTTAGTCTAACATGTCATATTAAAACTAATACTGTAGATAGATTCAATCTTTATCATGATGTGTTGCATCTAAAACTTCCAGGAGGATACATAATGACCTCAAAGTATAAACACTAGGTAGTTACATTATTTCGAAATATATATCAAAATTATCATATCGAAACTAATAAACATAATGACATTAAAATGCGTTGCAACCTCAACTATTCATCGGATAATTACTAGTACTTTTCACCAGCACACGTATCAGATAAGTCAGTGCAGTACAATTTTCTGTATTCGGATGAATACCATATCGAAGTAAGATCAAATGTTGGGGTAGGAATTATCCATAACGCTGGTTGCTGCAGGATGTTGCCATGGACTGACTACTTGAAAGAAAAATGAGTGCGGAAGCTGCCATACTGAAGGTGAATGATGTCAAATATGAATTGATTCCCTGGCAACTCAAGCCGTAAATCATTGTCCACATAGTACACAGAATTAGGTATAAATCTTGAAAATTTGGACGTCGAAATAGACACTGAACCATAGTCACACAAGAACAAGGCTTCATCTCCCAAGTTGTCCAACTCCGAAAACATGGATTTTTGTGTCGTTTTACTAGCAACCAACTTGGAAATCTTGACTCTACTTGAGGGATTGTCCCTCGGAAAAGATATTTGAACCCTTAGCAGCTCGTAAGTTGAAGTCTTTACGAGATAAAATTTTGTGAAAGGAAAAGAATTCATGATTGATGGTGGTTCAAAAATCTCCTTTAAATTCAAACTAGTGCCGTCTATACATAAAACCCTACCTCCATATGTCACAGCATAGTATGTCTCATTATAATATATCATATCACAAATAGCACCTGCAAATATATTATTATAACGAGTGAAAATCCAGGTACCAGCATCGGGTTTTAGGATAGCCAACTCATGAAGCCGGTTCCATACATTAATCGTTGCTACAACCTCAAAATCATTTGGATTCGTTGAAGGATTCTTAGATATAATAATTTTACGGACTGTAAAATGAAGATTAGGAAGGGGAATTGTTTTAGTGGAGAAAGGATTGTAAAGTATGATACTAAGGCATTCAATATATTGAAAAGCCAACCAACCATGAGAAGAACCACAGAATTTCCAAAGCTGCAGACCCAATGGTATTGTTAGGTTTTCGATTATTTTACCTTTTGTCGCACTGTATAAGCTTGTAATAGTAGTAGCAATATGGTCTGGATCCGTACAGATCATTAATATAGGAAGTTCTTCAAGGGAACCTGATTTGACACGTTGTTTTAGGGCGTCACAATTGTTGAATACGAAGGAAAACCATGGCTTGCACACAACGCTAAATCGTAAGCAATCAGAGAAGGAAGGCAACTTTTTACAAATCAAGTCAAGTACCAATTCCGAAAGCCCTGCCCAGTTTCTTAATCTTAAATTGACATCCATATGTATTTCAATAACTGGCTCAAAATGTATTTTGATAGCCGTTTTGAAAGAACTAGGAAGATGAAAGATGAAGGAGTTGTGTTTGCGTATATATATAGTAGTAGGAAATTAAGTAGGGGATCACAACTGTTCTTATTATTTATTTTTTATAATATATCTTTTTTCCTTTCTTGTTTTTGTTGCCTTATATAACGCCAAAATAATTGGGCAGGGGATCCAAATTCCTTGAAAATAGGAGATTCTCCAATTCTTTCTGATAAACGATGCATATGCAATCTTGACCAATTCAATTATTTCCCTGAGGCCTTATTACTGTAATGGGGTTTGATGAATTTTGATTCCAACATTTAATTTTAAATAATAAAAGACCACATATAAATATCTTTAGAGGGTGTTTGACCAAGCTTATAAGCTGGTCAAACTCGCTTATAAGCACCTTTTGACTTATCTACCCGTTTGATAAACACTCAAAGTGCTTATAAGCTAAAATTAGCCATAAGTCATAAGTTGGTCACCGTAGGCTTTTTAGCTTATAAGCACTTTTAGTTTGACTAAGGCTTTTACTAGTTTATCCTTAATAATATTCTCTAATTAACAAAGTATTTTCCTCAAAATAAATTTTCTAACTTTCTTTTCACTCCATATTGGTTGTTCTATCTTTCTCTTTTCAAAGAAACTTTTGAATTTATAATCTCTGGTATATATTTAAGGATATTTTAGTCATTTTAATAAAAGAACAACCTATCAGCACAGCACGTTTTTCCAAACACGTTAATGTTTATTTAAACATTGAGTTTCAACACTTAAAAATATTTTCAACACTTCAAGCTTATTAGCTATTTACAAACAGCTAATCAAAACACGCTCTTAATAGGTGTTGCTAAGAATATTCTTTGGTAATAAAGCAGTTAATTACCAAAAAAAAAAAAAACGCTCTTAATAATTATTGAAGCTCTTATATGGCTACTGATTCAAAACATAAGTTCTTAGATAGTATATGATACTCCTCGTACGTAGTACTTTATTAGGATTATTAACAGAGGAAGTTACATAAGTCTATCAACTTTCCCAGTCCCCTTCCACATAGTTATATTCTACAACTTGTTAAGATTCTTGTTTCAGAATAATTATATAGTCGTGTTTTGTAGCAGAGTAGTTTTCTATTTTTTTTTTCTTACAGAAATTGAACACTCTTGTCTGTGCTTATAGACTGATCAGAATCTCAGATACTTGGGCTCTATCGATTTCGATAGGAAAAATGACACTATATAGCTGCTGTAAAAATAATAGTCGAAAAAATGTATAAAATTTGACATGCTGTTGTAATTGTTATATACAAAGGACAACCATGAGATAACTTTTGAATAATCAAGTCGAATACCAAATGCAAAAGGCTTGCCCAGTTTCTTGATCTCAATTTCGAATTCATGCTTTCAGTAACAGACTCCTAAGAAGAAAACTAACATACCATTCGTTACATTCAACAACGATTAAATCCAATGTAATCTCACATAGTGAGGTCTGAGAATGATAGTGTATACGCAGACTTTACCCTTATCTCGTTGAGATAAAAAGATTGTTTTCAATAGACCCTCGGCTCAGTAAAGATGGCTCACGTAATGAGGAAGCGAGCTAATAATGAAAATCCAGGTTCAAGCCGAAAACGTTGAGCATTACCACACAACTTAATGGTTCAAGGGCTAGTTGCAGGATCCTTGTACAGATCAATAAGTTTTTTGAAGAAAAATGCTAAGAAGAGGGAAATGCATCCGTAAATATACATTTAAAAAGCCAATCACCCATGTCTAAGAAATACAATCAAAACATCTCTATAACAACCTCACTTGTTCCAATAATACTTTTTGGTTGTTATAGTAAAGTGCTGATATAGAAAACATATATTTTAACATAGCATGAAAATTGGTCCCAAAAGAAATTTGCCCTTATAGTAAATAATTGTTATATAGTAATGCTGTTACAGAGACGTCTGACTGTACTAATAAATTTTGGAGTAGGAATGATCCATAAAGCTGGTAGCATGTTAACATCAAACATTGACGACGTCTCGAAAGAAAAATGGGTGAAGTAACTGCCATCTTGATGGTGTATGAGGTCCATCATAAATCCTGAAGACTCCAGCCGTATACCAAGGTCAATAAAATACACAGAATTTGGAAGCCAAAATAGACATAGAACCATGGTTACATAAGAACAAGGCTTCATCTCCCAAGTTGTCCAGCTCTTCATACATGTAATCATGGGTCATTGGGCTTACTACCAACTTAGAAATCTTAACAGTTGTTGGCTCATGATCACTCGATAAAAGAAAATTACGTGGATGAGATATTTGAACCCTTAACAGCTCGTTAGTTGTGGTTTATACGAGATAAAAGTCCCTGAAAAAATAAGAACCAATAATTGGTTCTGGTCCACTAATCTCCTTAAAATCCAAAGTTAATTTATCCATAAATAAAACGCTACCTTCGGAAGTCGCAACATAGTATCCGTCGTCGTAGTATATCACATCACAAACAGCACATGTTAATTAATAATATATCATGAAGAGTGAAAATCCAGGTGTTACTACCAGGTTTTAGGATAGCCAACTCATGAGGCTGGAGCAAAATTTTAAAGGTTGCGACAACCTCAAAATCAGATGGATTGGTTGAAGGATTCTTGGATAGAATAACTCTATCGACAAGATCTTAAGGACCAGGAAGATTGATTAATTGTCTCACTGGAGAAAGGGTTGAAAAGATGGATAGTATGAGATTCAGACCATTGAAAAGCCAACCAACCATGAGCAGAACCGCAACATCTCCAAGTGGAAGGAAAATATGGTAGCTTGAGATCCAAGACAATTTGACCTTTGGTAACACTGTATAAGCTTGCATTAGCAGAGGCATTTCTTCAATGGAAGTACTTGAATTGATGCGTTGTTTTAGGGCGTCATAGTTATTGGATACAAAAGAAAACCATGACTTGCAGCGCTAAACCGTATACAATCAGAGATGGAAGACAACTTTTGAAAAATCAAGTACAGTACCAAATCCGAAAGGTTTGCCCAGTCTCTTGATGTGAATTGGTTATCCATGTATGCAGCTTACTTACAATATTCACAGGTTCAGTAAGTTAATCCACCAAGTAACTCAAAATATATATTTATATACACACACAATAGCCTTTTCAAAGAAGTTGGTAGATTAATTAAAGAACTTGTGCAATTGCTTGGGAAAAGGAAGACTTACATTGGGAATTTGGGATCTCATATATATATATATATATATATATATATATATATATATATATATATGTTCGACTTGCGAGCGACGCCCAGATAAACCTCTACTTGCGACGTTGTATTGGCACATCGCCCTCGGCATAGGCCTCGGCCTCGCAAGCGACGCCCCGAAAAACCTCTACTTGCGACATTGTATCGGCACATCGCCCTTGGCATAGGCCTCGGCCGCGCAAGCGACGCCCCGATAAACCTCTACTTGCGACATTATATATATATATATATATATATATATATATATATATATATATATATATATTGTTATGAAATACTCGATTATGGTGGATGTCTACCCACTACTCTTCTCCATTAACCTCCCACTACTTCTTACCATTATGGTTGTAACTCCCACACCTCCATGATCTTCCCCCATGTTCTCAATAGTTAATACCATGTTTATGGAGTCCCTTTGTATTACCTATATCATCCTATAAATAGAGGGTTTGGGCATCACATTATACACACTTGAATACATAGAAGAAATAAGATTCTCTCCTCTCTTTCTCTCTACATTTTTGTCTATCTTCTTGTTTTATGTATTACTTTGAGCTAAGTTTTGTAACACGTTATCAGCACGAAGCTTTAATCAACCTAGAAGATATGAATGGTCGACAACCTTAAACCAATTTGGTTGAACCAATGGAAATATGGGCATTATTACGTATGCCATATTAATGTTTAGTTTGCCTCTATTGTCCCGGGAGTATTATTTTGTGTATTTAGCTTATGTTAAAATTTAAGATTTGTAGTTGCTTTGTTTGAAAAAACTAAGCTTTGATTTTAAGTTTTCATGCTCGTATGGCTGTATATGTCCACTACCTTTGTTCCTAGTTCTAAAATTGATCTCATACAATTATAACATCATGCTATCATTGATTTTCTATGATATTAAAAGATCTTTGTGAAACATTAAAAAGCATTCTGGTCATGTTATGTATTAACAAGGACTTTTAAGATCGATGGCCTAATCTAATTAGATGCAATATTTTTATGCTGATAATTGACAAAGTGATATCATTATGTTTACTAGCCTATTTTGACATCATCTGTATTAAAACAGAATATGCTAGCAATAGTTATTACTTAAGATTATTTGTTTCTTTAAGTTAAGTATATTTAGTTATGTGTTTCAATTCTTGTGTGCATTTTATTTAATCGTCATGCATTAGTTTGTAGTAATACATCACATAGTAATAACGCTACATGGTGATTCTCTTATTGACATATTTATACATAGGATACTAGTACACGAGTTTGTACTCTATCATATTTTTATTGATAGTAGTTCTTATCATTTCTATTTTGCTTATTTTTGTGATAGATTTTACTATGTGGCTACATAAAATTATATTCCATTCCTGATGTGAATCAGACCATTTGTGATAAACATTATATAAGGATAAGACGGTGGGTTTAAGTCCCAACGCACCATGAGGGTATGACATCGGATTTTGAGTCCTGATGATCCATGATTGTAAAAGTTGGGTTCGAGTCCAAACTCATTATGGCCTAACATGTCTTTATATGGGTCAGACATTGGGTTTGAGTTCCAATGCACCATATGGATGACATAGTGATGACTAAAGAAAAATAATATATTTTTCATGGAAAAGCATGAATCTTGTCCCACTTGATTTGCACCATTCTTGAAGTGAATATGGTAGCAATGCATAATAAGTAAATGAAGACAAGTGGTTGACCA